TCAATTCCCGGCGGGAGAGACCATCAGTTCTTTTTATTTTTTTCCCGCATGACTCCACCCCGCGCCAGTCAGTCAGTATATCCTCGGTTGGATCTTTTCTCCCTTTTTGTGTCATTTTGGAGCTGGAAAAGTTCGTGGACCAACATCATGATGCTGTATGTAAAATACCTTCTGCCCCCGAGGTCATATCCTGGTCACAATTTCACTACCACCACCTACGAAGAGTTTTGTGTATGAACAGAAATAATATAATTCCAACGCCATCAGACTATGTCTTACATGCCCGTTGACCATGCCTTGAGTCCATCCAAAAATGATACTACAACCTGAACAAACATACATACAAATTCATTCCTAGATCAACGATATTGTGCAAAGGGGCCGTTATGTACATGATCCATCATCCATCATCAAGTTGCTTCTCGTAACGAATTATTTTCCCATTATGTATATACCACAAACTTTCCAAAAAAAAAAAATGTGTTCCCAGAGACGTTGGGTTCGACGTGGCCATCTCAATAGACACACTGCATACCAAACTCTCAACACCCAGGTAGCACTAAAATACCCCAAGCACAGAGAAAGGAAATGTACCTACCACTGGATATATCCTCCACTTTATTCCCTCTCACACCATCTCTCCATACCCCAAGCCTTAACGTATGTATGTAACTCACCGCCAAACACGATTCAACTCTCCAGCCAACCACTCCAACGGCTGCAACTGCATATTCCTGCCCACCCAAATAGCCAACCCGCCCAATACTCCCAAACTGCCCAGCACCTCCAGCGCAATGAGGCTCTTATACATCAACTCGTCAGCAATCTCCATCAAGCCCAGCGGATCCGTCTCCCTCTGCCTCTGCTTTTGTCTGTGCTGCTGATGTTGGTGCTGGTGCTGCCGATGACCGTGACCGTAAGCGTGATAACCAAACCCGAACAATCCCATTTCCTGCTGCTGCTGCCGATCGGCATTGCGTCCAGTATCGCCTCTCCTCCTGCTCGTACTTAGACTCCTGTTTGAGCCGCTCCTGTCTCTACTACTTCTGTCGCTGCCGCCGGTAGAAGCGATGGGAACGAGGGTTCCCTCAACGACGCACTCGCCGATTTTCTCTGTTAACCAAACTGCTCGTTCGTTGCGCGCCAGTGCTTCGTATTGAGCTCGTTCGTTGGCCAGGCTCTTCTGCAGCTCGGTGGCCCAGTTCGCTAGGCGCACTTGCGCCAGTCGTTCCTCGCGCTGAGTATGGTCGGTTATGCGGGCGAGAGCATAAGAAGAGGTGGCGCCAAGGGGACCACCGGATGTGCTGTACCTGCTGAGGAAGGATGATGCGGTGCCAGGGCGGGAGTGGCCGTTATTTGAGGAAGGGGATAGCGAAAAGACGCTGCTGGGCGATGTGGGTGATGGGACGGATGGTTTCTCGGGTACCAGTCCCTTGCGCCATTGGACGTACTTGCGGGCTGCGGAGTGGCGGAGCCAGGAGGCGCCGTCGGGACTGAAGACGCGTTCGACGAGCCGGGTGAGTTCTGATGGGACGAGAGGTTCGACGTAGTTTGTGCTCATAAGGAGACTTGCGTCCATCATGTCGTGGTCTGAGCCGGCGGCGCTGGAGATGGCGTATACACCCTGTGCTGCGGGGTCCGTGGGCGAAGGAGACAGGGTTGATGAGGAGGCTGTTTTCGAGGGTGTGATGGAGAAGGAAAAGGGGCGGATGTTTGCTTCTCGGAGTTGTGACTGGATTTGTTCTTTGCTGGCTGATATTTGCTCGGGTGACATAAGGTCGGCCTGGGACAAGAGGAAGATAATGTTGGTGAGAGGGCTAAGTTGGTTGAGGTAAGCTATATCAACAGGACGAAGCCCTAGAGGAAGTTTTAGTATCAGGTCTCATAGGTTTTGACTTGGGCCTCTTACTGTTTGAAACCAGGTAGAAAACAACATCAATCTGAACACCGCCTTCTCCACCCAGCATGTTCAACATATCTCCGTCATTTAGGGCATTAACGCTCATGCGCTGCATCTGGGATACGATATACTGCACCACGGGTGTGATGGTATCCATACTCTGGTCGTGAAAGTCAGCTTAATCCCGTCGGTCACAGATGGAGGCAACATACAGACGATCCACTCCCATAGCCAGGAGTATCGACAAAGCAAATATTACGGTCCAGCACGGTATCCTCCACACTCTTTCTGCGTTTCAGCACATTGAGGTCATCAATCTCGGACCACCACTGAGGGTATGGTTTTGTGCTGGCATAAACTTCGGTGATTTGACCTGTTCCATCCGAGCTTTGTCGCCTACTGCTTGGCCGTGAGCCACCTTTGGTTTGTTTTCCTTTTATATTCACGGAGCCCTTCAAGCTCGGTTGAGGTGACATTGGCGACGGGGTGATCGGGTCAACATGCACAATGTGTTTGCAAGACTGGACGATGGCCTTGATCAACGAAGTCTTTCCTACGCCACTGTCGCCAGCAACCAGGACCTTGAGCCGGCCCATGCTTTTCCCTTGGTCGGTAAAAGGTCGCCGGCTGGGCATCTTGATGCTTGGCATGATGAGCTGGGGAGCGCTACCGCTGTCCATCATAGTAGACCCGAGATGCTCATTTTCTTGTTCGGTGTCATTCTCATCGGCGTGGACGCTTGGCGCAATACTGGCCATGTCAAAGTCGTCGGAGAAGCAGATGGAATTGCGCCGCGAGGATGTGTCGCTTACGGCGGACGCAGGACCGGTGCTAAACATAAAGGGGCTAAAGGGTGCTTGGGATAAATCGTTGGAAGGGGTGGCAGAGGATGGCCTGGGATAAACAGCATCTTCGATAACGTGGTCCAAGGTGTCGAGTAGCTGGTTTGGGGTGTAACTCTTGTTCTGGTGTTTGGGCTGTGTTCTTGCGCTCCCGCTCCCGCTTGCGCCGACCTCCTTTTCTGGTTCTGGCGTGCTGTGATGATTGTGTCGATGATGAGAGAGACCCCTGGCTCGTCCGTGATGGGCTTCGGAACCCTCGACGACACCGTGAGCTTTCCTCTTGTTGTCGCGCAAGTGTCGGTGAGGGCCAGCGAATGATGATGTCTGGTTTCCCGTCAGAGGACCAACTGAAGATTCATCGCCAAAACAAAACGTCATTTGCGGCGCCGGTGGTAGACGTAAAGACGGGATATCATTGTCGGAGTCGCGAGGTCGCCCGGAGGTATCGTTGTTGGAGCGCATCGCGAAGAAAGCGATCTACATGCACAGGGTGTCGAGACTTGCGCTTGGAGGTCCACGTAGAGGGTAGCTATGGTATTTTATTACTTCAATCTCAAAGGGGCACGAAAGAGATGCCGAAAGACGGGACAAGCAGCAAACAGTGGTTGCTGTGGGAATACAAAGACAAAGATGCAGCGATAAACGGAGTAATAAAGATGGGGACCCGGAGACGAACGGAGAGACCAGTTGGTTCGCTGATATCACTGGATCGTCGTTTGGGTTTCACGCGCAGTCCGAGGTGACGGGGTGATGGGATGTGCAATGTGCGATGTGGTGATGACTGATGATGATGATGATGAGGAGGAGGAGGAGGGGCACCAAGTGCAGTGCCTTTAGGTGAACTTGGTGAGTGACGAGAGAACGGTCCAACTTCCATGTCGATATCATTCATTCGTTACCCCCTTCGACTGACCCCTATCCCGTCACTATCGGGCCCTGTAGCACCATGAACCAATGCAGGAGTGCTTGGAGCTTCTCCTTGTAAGTGCATACCGCTGACTGACCGTCCAATACCAGGCCCGGCACTCGATGTTTGCTGGAAGCCAGAGTCACTATCCGAGTGGAGCTGATAGTGATGACATCCATTTCCCGTCGTTCCCCGCCTTCCCAGAATGGATCGCCCTGAGCCGGTGGACCAGCTGACCCCATTTTGATAGGTGCTCCTGTGGGTCCATGGGATCACTCACACGCGGGCGCCCGCAACACCGCAGCGGTAAAAAGTCCCAAGACCAGCTAACCTAACCCCGCTTCCCCATTTCCGCCTTAACAAAAGTGGGCATTTCAGGAAGCTGCCGACGGTGGAGGTTTCGTTGCAGCATCCGTCGCATGGCATTGACCGTCGCACATCCAACTTCAAACCTTCCGATGACTTTGACGATCCTGCAAATGCCATGTTGCCATTGATGGCGCAAAGTAATGGAACCCGAAACTCCCGATATCGACTCATCCCGGACATTTCCCAACTTGAATGGCCTACTTCTCTAATCGACACATCATAAACGAGTAACCACAACAGCAACAAGTGAACTTTTAACATCGTGAAAGATCACAGCCCCTCATCCAGAAGACACTACTCGAGATTGCAAACATCAGGACTGCATGTTCGGACTTCGGATGCCTTCACGCTTCAAGTCGGACGGATCAAGACTCACCTCATCGTACAGCCGCTGTCAACAAAATGTACCTCGTCAATGGGACCTACCCGATGGTGACACTCACGGGTCCAGTCAAGTATCTCTCGAGAAGTACAACCAGAGTCTTTCTTATCTTACTGATATAAGCCAGTTAATTGCCAGGAACTTTCACATACGACCATACCCACTGGAAAACTCGGGATCCCGTCCGCTCTCCCATAGATAAGCCAGTGAGGGCCAGACTAGTAGTTGGGTCGGTGACGACCAGCGAATCCCTGGTGTTGTATGTTTTTTTTTCGTTCTTTATTTTCCTTTTTCCTGTTTATCTTCTTTTTTCGACTGTTATCTTCTGCCTCTTCCATTTACACTACAATGGTTTCTTGAGGGTGGTTGTTGACTTGTATGACGTCTGGAATGGAAAGTGGAAACTTCTAAAGATGGGGACTCGCTCTCCTCGAATGTTGCAGCCAACGCTTCACTTCCATTCCAATTCTTCGTTAATGATTGAATTACGGAAGCTCGGCGTCTCTCATCATGCCATACATCTTTCTCATGCATTCTCTTTATATTTGCTTAGAGGAAGAGCGTACAGGTGCATTCTAAGGTCTACACACTGATTGTGGACTTTTGGTGTTTCGGTTGATGGCATATGAAGAGACCTTCCAACCCGAACTCTCGACCCATTCGGGTTTCCTGGCAGCAAATACACTGTTCATCTCATCCCATGCTTTCAAGATCACTTCGCCTTTCCTGTTCCACTTGGCGGACCAAAGCGGCTTTCAGCTGCCTCCATCCACATGCGTAAAACAATCGTCCAATGGCGTTTCAGCCAGCCGCACCTGGCTTAACGCCTCTGCATATCTGTATCGGGTCAACAACACCACCAGGTTCAATGACTAACGCTCAATAGTTTCCAACCTCTACATGATCAGGCTCACCATTATCACTTCTAGGGTGAGGCGATGCTTCATACTTACGTCACGGATGTCAAATCCGTCAGTTCTCCACGAGATCCAGACAACCATCTCGACCATCAGCTTAGTTATTGACCTTCAGCTTGGATGTCAGCCAGCCGCTCACCAGATAGTCTGGGACGATCTCGAAGAATGTGCGGGCTTTGGGCCTGTCATGGTCGAATCTGGACCGCCGATGACCGACTTCCGTCGACTTCTCTTGCGAAGTTCGACTTAGTGCAAATCACTATCGCGTCAATCTCGTGACGGGAGGTTGGAAAGCTTGCATGGAGAAACCGAAGTCATCACCGGGGATGGGAGGATATGTGTTAGGGGTTACAGCTATATAAACCCTCAGGAGCCCGCCTCCTCGGGTTGTCAACTTGCCTCATCAGTATTCACATCATCGAGAACTACTTTACTCTCTTCAAATCAGCCAGGCAGCCAACATCCAAATCACCTCAATTTTACATCACCACATCTTAAGCCAGCAGTCAACATGGGTTACGGAGACTGGACCGAGCTCGAGATCAAGAACAAGAGCGGCAAGGAGCTGAGCCTCCGCAACTGCCAACACGAATGGGGCAAATTCTACTTCTGTGAGAGTGGATGTACGTTCAACCCTCGCTTTCTGACCATTTCTTACGAGCCGCTCAGCACTAACACATCAATTTGAACTTTCACAGCCGACAAGAACAGAGAGATCTCCATCGACGAACTCAACAGCAAGAAGATCGCTCCAGGAGGCAGCTACCGCTTCGGCGCCTGTGGCAAGGAAAACAGCCTGTCTGGCTGCGACGGCTTCGTCGAACTTTGGGATGCCGAGACCAACGTGATGGCGGCCAAAGTCAGGTACTTCTCGCCCCATGGCACCTCCTACAACCGGATGGACATCGACTGCCCGAACGAGGGGTGGAATTGCTCCCAGACCGGAGGATACTTGGGCAATGACCAGCCCCTTGGCAATGTCAAGGTCACTGTGTCGACCTACTGAATATGATGAAAGCCCTAAGGGCCAAATCGTCCTTGTGGCGGCGGCCTGGATTGAGAGGCTGATGGGGGTGGCTTTGACAAGGCGAGAGTTCGCATAGAGCGTTTTCATCACTCGTGGGGAAGTCGATCATATGTAGTAAATCCAAAAATTACTTAATAACTCCCGACTGCATTCTTGAACCGAGGTAAGGACAATAACTGGTGATCCTGATATGAGACAGTCAGATGATGGCCTTGAACAGTCTCTAGAGAACACTAAACGATGCAGTACGTGTAAGTCGAGGGTCCAGATCGTTTCGGAAATGGGTCGTAAGGAAGACCCCACTGTGTGAAGGCATGGAAGCTGCAGAAGCATGAAGGTGCCTCTAGTTGGGGCAGGCGTTACCCACACCTGAGCTTACCCAGACGGGAGTCCTGTATTTACATTGGAGTGCAGGGCCAAATCTCTATCCGAGATGTCTCCTCCTGCAATCATTCCAATGTTAACAATTCTATCTCCTACCAATGTTGCGCCTCGTCACTTTGAAGAAGATTCATCCGAGTGTCGCTCTCTTGTTAAGGCATGTTCTATTTCATGATATCGCCAACCACCATGAAATTACATGAGAGTGTCGTCGGTACACCAATACGCTCTTCCTCTGGCAAATCATGCTGACCAGCGTTTCAGGGTCTATAGAGAGGTATGTCTCCAGGGTTTTCCCATTTCCGCCACGAATCATTTAATCATTCAAATCGCATTGTATTCATCAAAGCCGCAAACACATTCCCCCAAACTCCATCGTGTACAACCAAGGCACTCGGACCTCCCAGTCTGCGGAAGACCCAAGGCAATCGCCCACATGTCCACCTCAAGCACGAAACATTACTCCGGTCCACTACTCAGTCATCCTCAATGACTAGAAGATTTCGTCAGTTGGCTGTTCACTCATAAACGGCGGGAAAGAACCGTGTACTCACCGAATCGGCTGTAAGCGTTGCTCTTAGCCTTCTCCGTGATGTACGAAATCGCGGCCTGCTTGTTGACTTCCGTACCATCGGTAATGGCCTTGACCGTCGCCGCGGGCGGAGGAGTGATCTGGGCCGTTGTCTCGGCCACCTCCTGGATGCGGGAGCCCATGCCGTCCTTAATCTCCTGTTGTTTTTCCTGCGAAATTTTCTGCACCCGGTCGACCGCATCGTTCGCCCAGTTGTTGAGGTCTGCAATCTTCTTCTTCATCTGAGCGGATGCGTCCTTGTCATCGACCGTGACCGACAGCTCGTCGCACATGCGAAGTCCCGGCATGATGCTGTCCTTGGACAGCTGCACCCACATCTTGGCAATGTCCCCAAACACACCAAAGTATGCTCGCATCGTCACGGCCGCGCTGTATAGCTGCGAGCGCTGGAAGTCCGTGTACGTGTAGTTGCCGATCCTGAGATCCTTGTACGGGTCAGTGCCGTCGGCGGCAACAATCATCTTGACGGTCTCGAGGAAAGGCTCGACGTGATAGCGAATGCACATCTCGACAAGCGATTCCATGGCCTTGAAGAAGCGAACCAGGTTGGTCACCTGCTGCTTGAGGTTGATGATGAGCTTGATACACTCGATGAGTACCCGCTTGATCTCGGCCTGTTCAATACACGCAAGTCAGCAAAACGTTTCGAATCCCGGGACTGGCATCGGCACGACCGAGTGTGGTATGGTATGGACATACGAGAGAAACATTGGCCTTGGTCAGCTGGGCCAAAGTAGCCTGGATCTGGCCCAGCTTGTTCTTCTGTTCCAGGAGCATGTCGGTGGACTTGACATAGTTCTCTTGGGCAGTGGTCAACATCTGCTGGGTCGTTGTCAGTCTGTTCTTCGCCGCTTCCAACACTGCCTGAGCCTGGGTGCTCTTCGCACTGATCCGCGCGATACGCTCCGACTCCGACGTCATCAAAGGGATCTATGTTCATGGCTGTGTTAGTTCCAGTCTTTGTGATACTATCAAGTGTACGAGAGGACCAGGACAGGGAGTACATACACCATTAGCCGTGACACCTGGAACAGTTTTGGCTGTTGAGATGAGGGTGTTTGCCTTCTGATACTGCACGGCAAAATCTTCCTGCCACTTCTTGACTTTCTCGGAGTCCTTAGCCAGCCACTCTGCGGACACGCTGCTGGACTTCTTGACCTCATCGTTGATTCCATTGGCAACCTATGATGGGTTCATTTGGTTAGCTTTCTTGTTCAAGATCGCAATACGGGGGCTGAAGCCGAAACCATACCTGGAGAGATACGTTGATGATGGCAGTCAGCGTTTGGCTAGGATCGGATGTTGTGGCCACTCGCGCAAAGCGTGTCTTGGTATCCTCCAACATCGCCTTGACATAGCCGATGCTGTTCTTCCTGGAGTCTGTTCCTGTTCCGCCACTGCGAGCCTGTTCCCAGTCAATGTTTCCATCGGCGTTCTTTCCACTGACAATAACCTGCAGGATGGAAAGAACGTGGTCAAGCCGGATGACTTCGGTGTAGGCTGGGTCAGTAGCATTCTTGGCCGCGGCGGTCGGCGCCACCGGGTCCGGCGCCGCCCGTTGTCCACCAGCCTCGGCCGAGGACCCGTCCTTGTTGGGGTTGAGGAAGCCTCCGACAATAGAGGCACCCGCCTGGACCTTGGCGATTGGGTTCAGGTTGGAAATAAAGGCGTGGGCAAATGAGTTGCCCAGGTTTGTGACGGCTCCCACCAAGTCTCCGACAATCTGCTGGCCCAGGATATCCCAACTAGAAAACTTGATAAGTATAACGTCTTGGCGGCCTCGACATCTATGTGGGAAACAACAGCTCACTTACCCGTTGGGGAACTCATCCGAAGCCTTCTTGAAAGCCTCGCCAGCATTTTCAACCTGTTTTCCCATCAAGTCAAAGGCCTTCTGGGCTTCCTCGACGGTCGACTTCTGGTAGTCCAAGCGGGTTTGCTCGGCAGCGACGCAAATCTCGTTGCTAAAGATAGTCTCTCTGGTGCTGTTCTCTTGTTGGACGCAAGCCGCGTGCATCTCGCAGACGTACAGGAGCCAGTCCTCGAACTTCTTGTCCATTGCCTGGGCCTCCTGGAGACAAGTGGCCGATCCCCGCTTCAGGGTTTCAAGCTGCGGACGCAGCATCTTCTTTGCGGACTCTGGTTCGCCAATGGTGGCGAGGATATCGTTGATCTATGCAAGAACAATCATCGGCATGTCAGCGATGCACTACCACAGGCCTGTGGGAACCTCACGACTGACCTTTCCGTTGATGACTCTCGAGGTCGACTGAATGGTACCCATACCATTCTCCGCCGCGATGAACGCCATACGGCCCATGTTGCCGCACTCAACAAGATTGGCTTGGACTGAGGAGTATCTGATTATGAATGGTTGGTCAGTGCCAGAGCCACAACACTGAATGGAAGACATCCATGTCCCGTGTGTGTGACTTACTTCAAGTACTGGAAACCCTTGTCCTTGGGCGGTTCCAGATGGACGACAGCATTCGGGCTCGAGCTAGCAACGAAGCAGGCTCCCATGCAGCTGATGGCTGTGGGCGCGGCCTGGAGCAGCTCTGCCCAGTTGAACTGGAAGATGAGACTGCTCTTCATCTCGTCGATTACTTGAGATGACACGTTGGGAGCGAGCTCTCGCTTGTCCTTGGCGGCCAGGACGACCTGGAGTTCTTGGGCGTCGGAAGGCATGGTGATGTGCTGAAAGGTGCGTCTGCGAAGGTGTGCTGAAAGGTGCGTCTGCGAAAAGGGAAAAAAAAAGAAAAGAAAGAAAGAAAGAAAAAAAAAAAAAAAAGATGAAGGGCTTGTTTGTGTGGTCAAGAGAAACCTGGCGGTGTTGGTTGCGGTTGAAGATGAGAGTCGAAGATGAGAGTTGAAGTGATGGCTGGCGATTTACAAATTGTTGATGTGAGGGTTCATGACGATGCTTATAGGGAAGCCGGCAAAGCTTGAGGCCTTCTCAGATGCCAAACCTCATGTCATCCTGTCTTTGTCCATCTGGCCAACGGAGCAGGGCTCCAGTCATGATGTTCTTTAAGAATGTTTTCATTGGCTCAACTCGCCAATGGCCTCCCGAAAGTCCAGAGGCTTTGCCAACGAAGTGCTCACCGGGAGCTGAGCGAGCATGGTGTGTCCAGAATACATACTAGGAAGGCTTGATCATCTCGGGCCATGAAACACAAAGCTGACTTTACTCCAGTTGGCCTGCCAAAGTGTCTCGCCGGCACAATCGGGAATAGTGTCACATAGCTGCCCGATCAAAACCCACATAGAGAACGATTCAAGATTCCCCACCCGCTAGGCCTCTTTTTTGGAGCATCTGCACTACACTACACTTACACTACAGATACTACATTCTTGGCGAGGACCCTTAACTTGACCTGAAACGGCAAGCTTATCGCGGATGGGACCGCTTAGTGCAATGCGGCTGAGAACTATATCGGTATCCCAACTATAACGGCGGCCGATCTCTAAATGCATGGCGGCAGCGGCGGTCAACTGCGGGACTGTTTGGAATGCGTGTCAAACAATTGGCACTTGACAGGGCCAAGCTCTTACATGGACGAATAGTTGAACAAGCTGAGCGAGTGCTTTTGAGTTCTTTCCCCCCATTTGTTCATCCACCAAAAGTGGCCCAGGTCCAAAAACCATACACCAAAAATGGTTAAAAGACATGGCTAGTGGAGAGCTGGAAAGACGATATGTAGGTGGGTTTCGACTTTCGAGATGCGCAAGTTAAACTCTGGGCAGGCTGTGCTGGTTCCGTAACTTGCGATCTGGTCCAATACTACTGAGTGCCATTGTACTTGTGCAGGAGGGATCTGCGCCTTCGGGCCGCAACTGGATCGTCGGATGCGAGATCGATCGTTTGGCGATTCTGTACAAGTGTTCCGGTGTTCCGAGGCATAGACCCACTCTCCAGACGTGGCTTTCTCTATCTGGTATGGAACGACGGCTGAACGATGGGCTTTCTCATTAGTTTGTGGGGTAATGGGGCTATTCATTATTCACATGTTCAAGACAACTTCGAACCGCAACAACACGTCGACACCAAGTTTTTGACATCAACCTCCGACAGAAACAAAGCCGAAATGAACCAACCAGGAAGCTCCAGCAGAGAGAATATTAGGCCGGTTAGGATTGTCCTGTTGAAGCTGAGGCCACATCACCAGCTGAGCATCTGCGGAATGCAGAGATGAGTTGTCGGGATAACTTGTCCAAGGGAAGTATCTTGATCGAGGCAAAAAAAATTGGACATGGCCGAGAGGCTGTACAAGGGGAGTCTCTCCATCAAGACAGAAACCCTTTGACATGGCCGAGATAAGAGGTTGTACGTAGGGGCAGCTAACACTACAGACAATCTGGACATTCTCCATCTGCTGTTATCTGACAAAGTTCCTACGATAAACGGCAAGAAGTAAATATTTCTACAAACTCACATCATGTCCGGCCGAACCCATCTATTACTGGTACTGCTTCTCCTCGCCTCGATTTGCTTCTTCGTTACCTCAAGTATCCTTCTTCTACCTTCACTTAACGTACCCACCTATACGACAACCGTCATCATGGATCCCGCTGTTGTTGTAAACCTCTTCAACGCGATGAACATGGGCCTCGTTGGAAACTCGCAGATAGACCCTGCCGTCTTCGCAGCGCTGCTTGGGATAACACAGTCCCTACAGGCCGTCCAGATTGTACCCGGCGGTTTGCAAAGTCTGGCATCGCCTCAGCAGGATCTCAACTTGGGCAGCCTCCAGAGCAAACTGAGCAACGCTGCAGCTCAAATTCGGGAGATTCAGGACAGCTTGCGTCCCATAGTGTCTCAAACCGGAAGAGACGTCATTGACAAGCTCGAGGTGGCCATGACCAAGCTCTACAAGCTGGCCGTCTTCATCCGCGGCGACTACGACGACCGCGAGCCGGACACCACCCACCGGGATGAACTTCTCAAGCAGGCAGTCCACGCCTTCAAGGAGGTGAAGGATTGTGCGGAGGCCGGCCTGAACAAAATCAGCCGGCTCCACTCCCAGGTCATGGAGATCGAGAACATGGTCATCAATCCTGCAAAGCAAGATGTCGCCGCGTTGCTCGAGAGCAACGAGAACGAGGTGAAGAACTTGCAAGACCAGATCCGAAATTCGGAAACGAGCGTCAACACCCTCGAACACAGCGTGTGGCAGCAGTCGCAGGCAGTCAGCTCGCTGCATGACAGGATTTCCAGCACCAGAGATGCGAAGCTGGCTAGTGATATCGCGGTAAGCACCATATTCCCACAGACTGGTTTTCTGTCACTTTTAGCCCATCGTTTCGCCCCTTTCCTCCCTCTGTCTTGACAGTTTTCTTTTCTTTTTATATTTCCATTCCTTCTTCAGGCCAATCTGCTGATGCCGGATTTTGCCCCATTTCAGTTCACAATCTTCACACTCGGCATCGGAAACGCCATCAACGGCGGTCCACTCGACCCCTTCAACTTGCAAGGAGAGCTAAACGAGGCCAACCGGCTGCTGCAAGATGCCCAGAGGAGGCACCGTGACGCAGCCAACGAGCTCAACAACTTGCGGATGAAGCGCATGGGGTTGGAGAGTCGACTGAGCGCAGCCCGACAAACCGCGGCGCTCATCCCAGGAGTCTCAACATTAGCAAACACCACCAACACAAACTGCATCATGCTGCAGCGTCAGTTTGGCCCCCTAAAGGAAGCCTCGGCCCAGCTGTTGCTTTCGGTTGGAAAGGTCCAGTCCGATGCCACGGTGACCAGGCACTGGCTTACAGCAAGAAAGAATTTGCCGTTGGGCTGCTGGAGATTTGCAGGGATTCGCTCATGGACCAGGCGCTCTTGGACGAGGCGTCTATGGTCAAGGATGAGGTGATCAATGAGTATGGCGGCGACATTCCAGACGAGGTTCAAGAGATGGCAGCCGAAACTGATGAGAGGATGAGTCTTGTTGTTACGGTTCCCAGTATCCGTGCCTGAGCGGCGGTACATGGGTTTGCTTGATAGGTTTCCGAGATTCTTTTCGATTAACGTTTGTTTTGTTCCTGGTCTTCGGTTTTTTGAACTTAAATACCCTTAAGCTGTTGGGATATTCTATGAATGTGAGCGTGTAGCAACGATCCTTGAACGGAAACAAAAATATACCAATAAAATATTTATGCTGCGTCTAAATAGCATGTAAACAATACTCTTCTTTTTTGTACGGATTCAATCTTGATCATCCAATGTGAGGCACGTAACATGACCACTCTGGAACGAGAAATGCTGAATCAGGCAAGTGAGCCAGATTTATGAAACAAACAACCACCAGGTAAGCCCTGAATAGCACGTAGAAAACAAGCAACGAAACAGGGAAGATATCAAACCCGATCTTCAGGACCCATAAACAAGACGCCATACATAGAGAGGAAAGTAGGTTCAAAAGGGGAAGTGATATGCTAGCGCAGACTTTACCAAACACACCAAATTGACAAGTGAAAAGCATAGCCCAGCCTATACGGCCAGCGTCACGGAACATGTGTCTGATCGCCCGCGTCCTTAAATGAAGATGGAGCCAAAAAGGCCGACTGTGTTGCCACCAGGTAAGCAAGGTCAGAAGCCCCGTGCATGCAACAACAAGGCTTGAAACCCTCCAGAGAATCCTTTCTACCTCGCTCGAGAACGGCGCATTCCAGGCCAGACAGTGAAGCCCGCCATAAACTAAGCCAACGATGCCAAGTCCAGTGTAGAATGTGAAGTTGCGACGTTTGTACATATTGAACTGTGGGAAATTGGGAATGCAGTTGGAGACGTAGTCCTTGTACCCTTTTCTTCCTTCTTCGAAAAGACACTGCGCCAGTTTCCACCTCCGGAGATCGCATTCGGTCAACTTGACAGGTTTATCGAATATGCCGGTAGCAATACCATCGTGTAGTCTGGAATTACTTGCCACTTCAGTGATTGTGTTATCTTCCCGTACCCTTGGAGGGCTGGTACCTGGTGGGTAATCTGACGGCCGCTCACCCCGTATTATTTGCCTCCTATTACTTGAATCCCGGGAATCTTTCAGATGCAATTGGTTAGTGTCGGGCAAATAACCGACAAATAACCCTTTCCGACATGATCTTCTTGAATACACCCCAAACAGGGAATGTTAGTTAATCGAACTTAGAAACGACAGGTTAATTTGAAATCAGAAGCGATATCAAAAATATGGTTCAGTTACGAATGCCGCCCACCTTTGGTTTTTGGATAGGCAAATCTCGTAAATGTCTTTCTCTTCAACCAAACGTACAGACCAGGCGAGTACTGGTTGTAAACCATCATAGAAAAAATCATACCATTCAGGTAGCTGACGGTCAAGCTTGCTTCTGGTACACATGGAAGCGATAATTACAGAGCCCCAAAAAATTGATTGGCTGAAGTGTAATTCGTTCCGGTTCTTCGATATCGAGCGGTTTACTCCATCACAAGGCATATATGAGTAGGGTGCAAATAGCATGCCCGAACGTGTTTAGCTCGAGCAAACTCGGAGCAATGCCCTGGGAAAACCGCGTCATGCATTGTATGCAAAACCACGACGCTAGAAGTTTTTGGCACAGGAAACAGTTAGCGGGTTATATCGAGTTAAGGGACTGTAAAAAAGTCATGATCACCTTGTAGACATGCCAGAGCTTTGGCGAATGTGTTTCCTTTGCTTTTATCCTGTATCTCGTCACGGGTGATTGCGGGGACGAAGTTCTCAAGCTCATTCCCCTGGAAGTATCGTATAGCATCGGGGCCTAATGTCAGACGGGTTCGTGGTTTACCTGACGCCTTCATTGGGAGGAAGCTTCCCGAGCTAGGGGGTTGAGAGCCAACTTCGAGTACGAAGCCACCCATGGCTACAAAGTAGCTATGAACCAGCGTCCAAGATCTCTGTGGAGTAACTGAAGCCTTGAATTTTTAGGCAATGCATTAAAGTCAGTAATCAGTCCATTGAAGCGCCAAATGAGGAGGGCTACTAGAGTACAGTGCTCATGCACTCACCTCGATGTCCAAATTCGTTAGCTCAATCTCCTGATCAGCTGGAGAAGGGTTGCTGCCTTCTAAACCAATGGGTGGCACGAAGCGGGTAGGATTGGCAAGCAAAGCGTTCATATCCTTGGTGAGGCTTTTGGCTGCCATATATTGCTGAAATGCGGTAAATGCGATCTATCATCCGTCAGTGATAGGTCTGCTATGAATTTGTTGTCATGAGCTTCCGGGGGAAGTTTACCAATTCAGGAGTGAGGATGCCCAGCGACATCCAACTCAACTTCCGCAAATACCTTCTCGCCCGGCTTTCGTCTTTTTCAGGAAGGTTCAGGTGTAAAGCTGTCCAGACGCAGAGACCGAGAGCAAGGAGACATGTGGAGAGAATGCCAAAGGTACCGCGGCGTGAAGGCTCCGGCGTCCAGATAGAGGAGTTGGTGAATCCGTGGCCGAATACTGAGTCGAGCATCATGTCGAATGGTGTGGATTGAAAGTAAAAGGGGAAGAGAGACCAAACATTGCGACTTGTGATTCGGGTGTCTGGTTGTTTTGAGTCTGTGCCTCTAGGTCAGATTCGTGCACAGAAGGAATGTGTGACGAACTCGAATCAATTTGTCTGCCGTACAAACGTGGAAGGAGCCATCATTGCCATGTAGAACATATCTATCGATGACTCCAGGAGGTTCTTGCCTCCTACCCACAATGGCACAACATAGTTCAGGTTACTGTTCATCGGATCTGTTTTGAACGTGGTAATGCTCAGGTGGTTCCCGAGACTTTGCAAGTGCAAATTCCTGAGGCACTTCGTCATGGATTACTTGGAGGTTGTGGTGCGGCCCGGGACGCTTCGGGGGGACAAAGTTTTGGCCCAGCCGAAAAGGCAGCCTCCCCCCGCCGAAGTCTTGCCTAAGGTATTCGAATACCACTAACGAGGACAACAAAATCACCAAAATAAAACAAGAGACGGGAAGAAAAGTGGGAAAAAGATTGTGAAAAGCATAATCAAAAAAAGATCGAAAAGAGGAGGAAAAACCAAAAGACATACAACACCAGGGATTCGCTGGTCGTCACCGACCCAACTACTAGTCTGGCCCTCACTGGCTTATCTATGGGAGAGCGGACGGGATCCCGAGTTTTCCAGTGGGTATGGTCGTATGTACTATTTGTTTGCAAACAACTTGGTTATCAAGATCATTCTGGCGTGGAAAATGTGGTCGCGGTTCAAGAGTCCGACCTAACCCCCTTGGTCTCCCGAACACTTACAACCTAACTATTCGGACACCAACCAACATGAAAGGACACTCACCAAAACACCGCAAAAAAAAAACAGCGGGCTTCTCGCAAAGTATGTTCTTATTCATATACAATGCAGTTACCAAACAACCTAACATGTCTACCTATGTGCTCACCATCTATGTACTCGGTCTGTACCTGGCGAAGTAACGACAACGACACTGTCAACAACCAAACCGTCAACTGACCCAACCGAGTTATGACCATCTATCATATCCACATATCCACGCCCAAAACCTCGTTGATATGTACAGCCACTTCGCCTTCTCTGTGTGTCTTTTTGTCTTCTTGTCTCCCCCGTCATGATAGACAAGATGCCCCGGTACCTCCTAATAGCAATGCAGTGTCTCCAGTCGTCATGTTGTGATGTTATGTCGTGCGCAATGATCTTCCCTTCGACTCGGTCAACCCAACCAAGTCTATCAGCGCAACCTATGCCCTCTTCGTGCAAGGCAAGAGACCAAAGGCCAAAGACTAACGAC